AAGAAAACATGGGCACTGCTCCTGGCCGTGGGAACAAACTTTCCCTTGTTTGCATTCACAAAGACCTACTTTTTGGTAGTAGTTAAGGTTAGCAAAAGCTTGCAAACATCTTCTACCTTCCATACAAAATCCAGGATAATGGCACTGCCAATGGTTTGCAAACAGTTTTGGTCATAATCCTGAATGTCCTTGCATTTATGGTGATTAAATCAGACTTCAAATAATACTGGAACATAACTCTGGTGGTCTAATCGCTTAATTATGTCACTTTAACAGTGATATTTTTTTATTATTTACAGAAGAGGTCATAAAACTGTTTGCAGATGTTTAACTTTTGATTATTTTAATTCTAGCAGTAAATAATGTAGCAAAATAGCTTTTAAAGATCTTCCCTGAGTGTATTTTTTATGCTTACGATATTCCCTGAGTAATGTTTTAACAATTGCTTTAAGCTGAACATCATCTTCCATATGAACAGCCCTTAAATCACAAACTATAGTAAAATTCAGTTGAAAATTAAATAAATGGAGAATTGGTAGTTCCTAATTAACCAGTAAGAAAAGTTTATGAGAGGCAGATTGAATAAATATCAAAGCTTCTGAGTTATATTATGTTTCATAAATTGGCTTTTCTCCAATTAGCGTATGCTTTCAGAAGCAGGGGAATAAGATGAAAGGATCTGCAACAAAACTGATTACTGCTGAAACAAAATGGAAGTTGCTGCTTTTGATAAAATACAAGACTATGGCAGTGCTTGAATAATTTTATGGGAGGTTGCTGCCTAAGGCATATGTTTTACTGTCGGATACTGAATGCATGAGGAAAGACCATCTGTTTTTTTCAGCCTGAACAAATACATGATCCAGATTGAACCACTAGCAGCCAAATATAATTGCTCTGTGTTTTGCTTTGTACTACTCTCTACCTACAGCAGCACCCTCTTGTCTAGCATGTATCAGCACACAGTTCAAATGATGGCATTCAAAAATACTTTTTCCTTTATTGAGGGTTATAAAATGACTATCCAGGGCTTAATGCAGTCCTCTACACTTCATCTGTCACTGGAGAAATAGTTCATGACAGGAAAGAACAACTTCTGATACACTTTGACCACCACAGTGTTTGAACCTTAGGGAATTTGTTTTGCTGGACAGATCCTTGTTTAACATCCAACCAGGTGAAAGGTGTTGCTGTATCCTTCATGCCTTCAGTTCTAGCTGGGGAAAAAAAGAGGTGCTTTCATTGCATGGCCTGAGTAAACAGATTACATTAAAAAAGATAGAAAGTGAATCCTGACTATTGGTTTACTTTGAAGGAAAGCATGTCAGTAGTAAATAAACTACAGAAATATTCAAGAACACTTAATCCTTTTACTTCTGTTGCTAGTGTTGTGTTTTATAGCACCTAAAAGTATGCTTTTAGTTTTGCAAGGCTAATAGGACTGGATTTCTCCCCTCCCCCAAAGTGCTTACAGTCTAATTTTAGACATAATATGCTGAATGGCTGTAAAAAAAGTGTTCAGTCTTGGAGAAAGGAATGAGGGATAGAAGGGCAAGATTTGAATGTGTGGGTGGATAAATGCAAAATTTTTCTTTTGTTCTTTAATAATAATAATTAATAACAATGCTCCATTCCTTTTAGATTTTCTGGAAAAACTGAGAACAAAAGGTTATAGGGGTTTGGAAAAATATCTTTCCAAGACTATTCTTATGTATTGCTGTGAGGATTATTTCTGCTTTTCATGGATAATCTGCAGAACTATGTCTACCAGGTGCTAATCTAAACTGCACCTGGCTTTCCTGAGTATTTACCTTTATTTTGATTAATCCACTGCTTAACTGTACTGATTCCCTCTCCTGACTCACTTTTCCCATCTATCATGAATTAACACTTTGCCCACAGTGATCTAAATCAGTCCTGAGGAACTATGGCAAAGCCAGTGGTGGGTGAGTGGAGGATGTTTTTGTGATGGCAGGACTGTGCTGTGACTTAAAAGGTTCAGGTTTATTCCATGCATAAAGGCTTTCTGTGTAGCCTTAGGCAAGTCCCTTACCTTTTCTGTGCTGTGGTTGTCCAGCTGTGTGATATGGGAATAACAAGTTTTTGTTTTTCCTGGTGCGTCTGTTTTCTGTAATTGTGCTGTAAGAGATCTCTTCCAAATGAAAACTTGTATTGTGTGTTTGGACAAGACCCAGTACAACTGGGCCTCCAACTTAGTTGGTATTACTGGAATACAATTTTTAATACCTAAGCACAAAGGAAGTAAGAAAATATCATTTTAACTGATTCAGGACTAAAGAAATTCAGCAAAAGGAAATTACATCCTTTTACCGTAAATTCTTAGTCACTTCTTAATTTTATTTTGCCCTCTGTGCAAGTCTTAACAAGGAGAAACCACATTTATGCCTATGTCAGTAGGATGTAATTATAGGGGGGTTGTATCTGAAGACTGTAGCAGCTGAAACTACCAGTAATGTTCTGGGAGATTTTCCATCTTTAAAAAAGTGGGGGGAAGGGGGGCAAAATTGCTCACAAGGTGGATTTTTGTCACTTGAATGAGTCTTTAGTGAAACCTTTAAGTGTATATATGCTGATCTTTATCTTTCTTTAGTCTGGAGGATAGACTTGCCAATTGTATGCACCAGAGATGCCCTTTAACCTCCTTGATACTGTTTTATTTACAGTTCTTAGTAGAGCTTATATGCGAGGTCCTACCAGATTTGATTTTCAGAGTAGTTCTCCGCAGCAGCTAAGTGATATGCTACAAAATGTGCCTCCCATGTCTTATCACATTGCACATCAGATTTTCTACTAGAAATTCTGAAGAAATGGGCTTACATTTTTGTTTAATGTACTGGATATATTACAGCACTATGGAAAGTCTATGTGTTATAAGGGAAGGAGTAATTTTAGCTCCCGAACCTCAGGTGGGGGCAGTTGCCATAATATATTAATGTTTGTATCCAGTAGTTAGAATCATAGGAGTGTTTCAGTTGCAAAAGGCCTCTTTGAGTCATCTAGTCCAACCTCCTGCTCAAAGCAGAGGTCACTTCAAAGTCAGACCAGAGCATTTTCCAGCCAAGTTCTTAAATCTCTAGGGACAGAGATTTCACAGCCTCTCTGGGCAACTTGTTCCGGTACTGAACTACCTTCACTCTGACTTTTTTCTCTTACAGAGAATCATAATTTTCTTTCCTGCAAAGTGTGTCATCTCTGCCTTCTTTGTAACCAGAATTAGACAGCTGAGGACAGCAGTCAGAGGCCTCAGTCTCCCTTTGTCCAGGCTAGACAAGCCAAGCTCTGCTCATCTCCTCCTATATGTCATGAGCTGCAGCCCCAACCACCTTAGTGGCCCTCCACTGGGCTCACTTCAGTCTGTCCATTTCTCTGCCATGCTGGGGAGCCTCAAACTGGGCACAGCACCCTAGATGTGGTCTTTTCAGATGCCAAACAGTGGGAAATAACTTCCCTCAACCTGCTGGCTACGTTCTTGCTAGTATAGCATACTAGCATACAAGAGCACACTGCTAGGGATGTTCAACTTGGCCACCAGAAACACCAACACACACACACTCCCCTGTACTTTTCTGAAAAGCTGCTTTCTGTGTCTTTAGAATTATTATGTTGGTTAAAGGAAACATCACATTGAAGAGCACATGCACCCTCTGTATAGATCAGTAATTTCTATGCTTTTTCCCTTAGTCCCTGGAAGAGATCCAAATCCCTTTTTTATCAGCAAGGAGACGTTTGCACTTTCTTGCAGATATATATCAGCATTAATTACAATAACTATTCATGTTGGGTTAGAGCATCTGCTAACAAGAGTCCCAGCAATTCAGGCAAAAGCCAAAGACCTGCCCTTTGTTGGTTACCTCGTTGCCCAGCATGACTGACTTAGCAAAACAGTGATAGGATTAATTATTACTACTTGCAAAATCTAGTGCAACAATTTAAAATATAGAACATGCACCACCTTGCACTCATTCGTTGTGCCGCCTTGCTGCTGCTTAGTCAGTTCATGGTATTGTCGGTGAAATGAACTACATTTCTGATGCAATTCATAGATGATTTTACGCAGTGGTATTATTACTGGTGAAGCAGCACAATAGGAAAGGATATTCCTTATCATCCATAATATAGGCCTCAGAGCAATACCAGCTCTGCAGGCTCATGTCTGCAAACACATGTGATGTAGGCTGTAAGGATCAGACATGGGAACTGCAAGAATTTCTACAGTGATACCAGGTGTTTGCATGCGTCTTCCTCGCCAAGAGATTTAGGAGCATGTTCGTGCTCTGTTTTGCCTGCATGTATTCATCAGCACTATGAAATATGCAAGCTTATGCAAGCTCAAAATTGTGGTCATGTTTTCCCAATTGTAATTGCATGAGTTGTGTACGACTTCCTTAATTCACTCCTTTGTTTTTACTTCTTCAATGTATTGTATGATGTAAGTTTGTTCCCAGAATGGAACCTGTTCATTTAGGGCAGTGATGCCATAACTCAACTACCTCTCACTTCTGGTACTTTGTACATGAAGTCTGTTGCCCAGAAGGAAGTTGTTTCAGACGGGCAGTTAGGTGCAATATGTATCTTAGCTCTTCGATAAGATTATACAGCAGGTATTTGTGGTTGGTTGTGGGAGAAATGATTTTTCAAACTGGGGAGAGGACTCTCCCGTTGGTGATCTTTCTTTAAAGTCACTAAGAGTCTCTGGACTGCATAAAGGTACAGGATTGCAATACCAAAAGGAGTGTCTGTATATATTGGGTCGTTTCTCCAAGAAAATCTTGGGGTTTGTGTTTGTTTCTGTTAATTCTACCAGTGATGCTCAGAAGCATATGCATTTAGTAATAGGCTATGCTAATGTCTTTAATGAAATAAGTAGTGTTTGAATTCCCTTCTGTTAATGAAGACTGTTGATGAGGAAGGATCAATATAGATACTGGGTCAGGGTTCTGAAAAATATTAACAATTATTAATGTTCTTTCTTTTTCAGTTTTCTCCTTGTGTTTGGTTGCTTGATTTTGTCCGTGTTTTCTACTATTCCTGAACACACAAAACTTGCTTCTGGTTGTCTCTTCATTTTGGTAAGTGAAACTTCTAAATACAAGACAGTTTTACAGATACTTTCAAATCCTCTCCCTCACCATGGGGAAAATAGTATAATTCCTGAATGCTTTAAGAAACCAGACTTTTCATCAGAATGATTAAAAAATAATAAAATAGAGGATTCCACCATCTTTTTCTTTAAAAGCAGGTCAGATTGTATGACAGCGTTGATAAAGTACTATATTGCATCCCTTTCTTTGCTTGAGAATTGCTGTGGTTTATAACTGGTAGTTTTTCTACTGCAGTTTGGCAGTGACTGAGCCTGAAACACCTTTGATACTGTCGCTGTCATTTATAAAGCCAGTATGTAGTAACAGGCACTTATACTTAAAATAGGAAAAAATTTTGGTATCTTAGATACCAATTTGTGCTAGCTAGATACTGACATTTTAGTGGCAGTTGCTGCAGTACGATGTGGTAGTTTCATTATTTCTTCATAATACATGCTTTTGTATTATGTTTAGCTCTCCTTTTTCCCTTCTGAGGTTGATATAAATGGCTTTAATCCCTAAAAGTGCTTAACATTTTTCATGCATTGTATGGACGCCACTTTATTCATCTGCTTCTTGATGGGCCATTTAGTTCTGCAAGTGATGGCCTGAGGATATGCAGTAGCGATCATTAAAATGTCACTATATACCCAGAGTTACCATGGTTATTTCAGTTCCATGTATACAGCAGACTGTGGCTTGTTAGGTAGTGCCTGGGGTGAAGTAACTGTTGACAAATGCCGACATTTTAATTGTCATCACTGTATATATCCGAAAGCCCTGGTCTTCAGAACAGCTTCCTAATTAACTATGGCATGACCAGACCGATAAGTGTAATTATGGTGTGTGCTATGTCTCTACAGCACAGTGTGCCACTGCATCAAGATGCCTGAACTAGATGTGCAGAGCTGGCTTTGTGCAGATGTGCAGTGTTCTGCTCCATCTGATGGTTTCTTATCAGGGCTAATTAGAGAGACATGTGCTAAATGTAATATTATGCTTCCTAGCCATATTAGAGCTTTTACTTTTTCTGGAGAAAAGACTGGGTGGCATTAAACCAGCTAAAAGTTCAGATTTAATCCTACACTCATACCTGGTCCCTTTATTTACATATCTGAACAACACTTTGCAAATGCAAGTTTGTTTAAGCGTTCTTCAACTACTTATATTATTGCAATTACTGCACTAATTGATAAGATGTTCTGGTATAGAAAACAGGAAATTTTGATTAGTCTGATAATACTCTATTTCTAATAGCAAGTGCTTTTGTGTTAGGTAATCTGTTTCACTTTATACTTATGCAAATTTGTTGTAGAAATGCTATTTGTTCCGACATAAAATATGCATTTCTCATGAGCCACATATTTGTTGATTGTGTTGGTACGCTTACTGCTGCTGATTCCTTGGCTGGCTGATAAACACATTCCCTGTGCTTTGCCATGGCTCTTCCCAGGAGCCTGAATGTGGAGGAGCTCTGTGACATCCTGGGTTTGCTCCCAGCGCCTGGCAGAGGTATGGCGAGCTCTGCTAGCTGAAACACCAGCCCTCATAGAGGTGTCCATCAGTGGAATGCAGCAGCTCAGGGTCTGTGGAGGGCAACTGCAGCAGTTTCTGCTACTGCAGCTTCAAAGATGGACTTTGTCCATCTTAACAGTTCTGACTGTACATTCCGTGTTATCCTCTGAACACAGAAATGGCCTTTAGGAGGAAGAGGGTGGATGGTTAATTCTTGAAGCATCAGTACTAGCCTGGTCCAACATTTCTATGCTATAGCCTAGCGTGTTCAGCAAACCCTTGGCAGAAATAAATCTAGTGATGACAAATTTTATGGCTCCCGCTGTGGGTCTCTAATGGAGAAAAATATAAACACAGCAAAGCATGAAGTTCCAGAAGCAAGCTAAAGCTGACTGGTTTATTCTAGTTTGCTGATGCATGATTTGCTCCTTCTCTTCATACTGAATCATTAGCTGATATTAGCAATGTAATCAAAGCAGGCTTTTGCAACCACAAACCAAGAGAAAAACACATTTCTACATTAATGCAGGAACAGTTTTTTTGGCTGTGCCAACACATAACTGCAGTCAGTAGAGCTTTCACAACCTTTTCCTTGCAGCGATTCACAGCTCTTACAAATGTGTCATTTAGTGGAGACAGTTGTATTAACTATCAGAGAACTGGTTTAATACTCTTTGGCTTCACGCTTGAGAGATGGAAAATATATGTTTATTTTCTAATGAAGTACCATAGAAATACAACTATCTGTAGAGCTGCCTGCTGGGTTCCTGCGAACTGTTTGCTTCACAGATTTATTCCAGATGGTCCTCCCTACAGCCATGTTAATTGGCTAAAAAGCTAATGTAAAGTTCCTTCAACTTAATACCTGAGCTGCTGCCTGCGCGGGCACCTGTGGCTTTTGACATATTGCAGCTATTCATAATTACACAGGGAGGTTAAAGAGGAAAGTGTAGATGAGGTGAGCAAACCTTTCCCTCCTTCTCAGAAAGGCCAGAGGAGCTGAAAAGATTATTGTTCTGCAATCAGTCAATTCCATTTATCTCCCCCAGCCTCACCTTACAAGGGAGCAGAAAACACATCTCATAATCACTGCATCCTAAATATTCTCTCAGAAAAACATAACAGTGTTCAATAGCTCAAAGTAAATCATTGTTTAGGAAAGCAGTATTAGCTGAGGGCTTCTGAGCATCAGCAGAGGTTAATGGACTTGTCTGGACTGCAGAAACGCCTGAGCTCTGCTCCAAGAGCCAACGCAAACCTGCCCTGCTGTGTAGTGCTGTATCTAGCCAGGACTTCAGTTCTGGCATCTGCACAAGTACTACTGTGTTCCTAGGCATCTTCTGCTTATCAAGGGGCCTATCAAGGGAAATGCATTTAATATTTTAATTTTATGCTTAAAATAAAAGTCCTGCAGATAAGTTAAGTGCATGTTACGTACAGCAATGTTGGATTGTTATATCAGTAATTAATTTGGTTAGATTTTTGTCCAGAAATAACCAGGGAGAGAGCATCAGGTAAAACTCCTTATACCTACAATGATAATTATGCCTTAGCCTTGTCTGTGCACACAACTTCTGGCACTCAAGTTGTAGCAGTGATATATCCCAGACAGACAGCAGAATAAAATCTACTTCAGCATCAAAAAAGCCACAAGCAGCTTAAGAATCCAGCTAACACAGCAAGAAAATAATCTTGGTGTATTGCTGATCTCTTACGTTTCCTGGCACTTTATCAAATAATAAACACAAGGAAAGTAAAACTTAGGCTGGGAAGGCAAAATCAAATCTTTTGGGGAAGATAGCCAAGAAGGAATATATCTGGAACTGGAGGTCATTCACTCTCATGACCAAACTCTCTATATTTTAAGATCATTTTCAACTAAAGCTATGTGAATAGCTGGTTCACTTCAGTTTGTTTGCTGTCAATTCAAGAAAATAAATAAAATAATTTGAGTTGACCCACAAAAATTTGGCAAATCAAAAAGTCCAAAAAAATCTTGGATCAGATTAAATGCTTCATTTGACCTGGCATAAAATATTTTTTGTGTATGTGAGCATTTTAGAACTTTTGGGTTAAAAGTAAACTTGAGGCTGTAGGAAAGAAATGTAATTTTTATTTGATGTGACAAAGCATTACTTTTTTTTCATAATTTTCATTTTTAATCAAGATTGAGAGAGTGCAAAATTCATGTGACCTTCTGAAGGACTGGCTTTGTCAAATCTATTTTTGTGTTTTTCTCTGAAAAAGGCTGGGGTCGGAAGCTGTACCCAGTTCTGTAGGACAAGGGCCTCTGAAAATGTACCCTAGGAACACGTTCTTCAGGCAGAAATAGCTCCCAAAGACGTAAAAGCAGACAGCGTGCAGTAGATGAGGCTAGCTTCTACATGTACTGTGGTCATGTATACAAATCCAAAAGGACTCTAGAAAGTGCTTCTACCAATTAAAATCTTCCTGACGTTACTTCCTTCTCTAACGTTTTCCTATAAAAGAAACATAGAAAGAGAATGAACACTGATTAAAAAACATAGGGTATAGCTGCCCCATAGCAGGCAAGCACATATTCAGTTTGCTCTAGGAGAGTTAATCCATCCACAGAGATGTAATCATACAAATCCGCTACAAAATTTTAAAGCTGGGCAGAGTGGATTTAAAAAAAGGTAGGTGGGTAGTGCTTAGTTCAAAAAAGTAGCATTCTTCAGTTTATATTTATTGTCCCAGAACTTGAATGCTCTTGCAATGCTTGGATAAAAGACCACCAGACCAGAGCAGAGGACTAGATGGATTGCTCTGTAGGATCAGCTAACAATGCATCAAAGCAAAAACTGAACAGTTTTGAGAGATTTCAATTATAGATACATGTCTTACAACGAAGGTAGGGTATAGGCCACATTTTATTGCAGTTTTGTTGCAGTTTCCTCGAGAGAGGAACAGAGGAACTGATCCCTGAGCTAAAAAATCAGTGATTTTCAAGTTTGTTAGACTCAAAATCAGTGTTTCTTCAGAGATACTCATTGTCAAAGTTTTCTTTCATCCCAAATCAAAGCAAGGGTTTGAAATTTCAAAATTTGTGCATAGAAATCTCTGAAAAATTACATCCATTAGACACACAAAACTGACCTTATCAAAGACAGAATAAGAGAGGGGAAATGTAATGATGATAAAGTCAAAGCCTTCATGTTTTCTGTCTTGTTTGGATTAATATACACTAATATTATAATAAGATGATCGTATGAGCATAAAACAATTCAATCATGTTAGCTTTAAAAGAAAATAATCTTACCTCATAAAAATAAATAATTTCATGTCTGATTAAATTGATACTCTCCTATTATGTATACTGACTTCAATAAATCAGAGCTGACTGTTGTTACAAAAATTTGGACCAGATCTCATTACAATGGCTTGAGAATCTTTGTGTGCAAACAGAGCAGACTTCTCATTGGAAATGTAAGTGCTGGTTGCACTTTAATGAA